GGGATTCTTTTTTTTTCCCCTTATAATATTAGTTTAAACAGTCCGGGTCCTCAACCTGGCTTTGAATACTTAAACACAAAAACAAAGAGGAAAGTGGGATAGGAAAGAGTAATTCTGCTTCCCACTTAACTGTTTGAGATCTGCGCTGTTAGCATTGCCGAGAATGACGAAGCTCAGTGCCATGTACATCGTGGTTTGGCTTGTACAGCCGTGCCATGTCCATCATGGTTTGGCTTGTACAACCAGCTCTGTGCACCCAGCCAGGGAGAGGGGAAGCGGCCAACCTGGCCCGTGAGCTGGTAAAACTGACCTTGTGGGGAAATGCTGGAAGATCAAAGGCGTGTTTAGGGAAGCAGCAGGCACTAGATGGAAAGTTAGAAGTGAAAGCTGATGGTGCGACTTCCTATTTTGAAAAAAAATGAGAAGTCCTTCATCTTGCTAAAAAGACAGAGATGTAGCCAGGCTAAATTCAACCTGGAGCTGATGGAACTGTGTTAGATGTGTTTTTCACTGCAGGTGAATGCTTTGTATCAAAACTAAAGCGTCAAAGCTGGTTTTAGGAGTGCCATGTTCTCTGTAGCACTGTTTCCTTGCATTATTGAGCTTAAGACACTATTCAGTAAAGCAATTACTTCTGTGATTAAAGCACTTATTTAGCAAAAGCAACATATGTCCCCGTATTTTGCAAAACAACACAACATCTTAGCAGGGTAGATCTTTGCTTTCAGAATTTAGAGGTGAGGAGAGAGGGACATTCGTAACTTCCCTATAAAGTTCCTTGTCTAATGATATAAAAACTGTGTGTGTGTTCGGCATGTGTATAGGAGAGCTCTAACTGAAATGTACCAGAAATCAGAGCAGTTAGCAGCTGAAAAGGGAATTCTTTTACTAATTTATTTTAAAAAAGCCATGCAAAGTTAAAAAAAGATATAATCAAAGGTGATGAACATTGTGATTTTCAGTGCTTTTTAAAGGAAGAATACCCCATTTCGCTCCACTCTACTATCAAATTGAAAAGCTGTCAACAAATTGTTTCACGGTTAGCTGTTCCGTTTTGTACATTTTAAGCTATGTTTATTAATTTGAAACTGAAATTGATGTAATCAGGTGTCTTACAGGGAGAAAAAAAAAAAGATTATTAGAGGAAACCCGTGAACTATTCGTAAGGACGCAGTGGATGCGGCGTGTCTTTTCTGTAAGGCTGTTGAGGTGACAGTGCCATCTACTGAATTCCAGCTGCAGCTGGAGGCAGCTCTGCCAAGGGCTGCACGGGGCTTTTCCTCTTCCTCCCGCTCCCGCTGCAGCGCGTGAGCGTTTCAGCCCGTGCCGCCTCTCCGAGCTTAGGCTGAGCGCTCTGCGACTACCCCTGCTATGAAACCTTAGCTGTAAACTCCAGAAAAATGGATTATCCGATGCTGCTGACTTTAAAGCCGGTCTCTTGTCTAGGCAATTTGAATTCCTTCCTGCCTCTTTCCCTGTTTCAAACGTGTTTTTGCTGCCTGGCTATTTCAACCAGCAGGCCCATGGTCAGGAGAGAAGAGAGTTCTGCAATCGGTTGATTGGTGTCAAAAGGCAGAGCGGAAACGTGGCCTGGGGGAGCCCGCTGCCCAGGGGTGCCCTGTGGACTCACGCTCCTTTTCACCCAGGGAAGCCTGTCTCGGTTATTTCCATGGATTTGCAGCAGACCCTGTGTGAGGCTGCGTCCGTGCTGCGCCGGAGTGTGCAGGTGTGAGAGATCCTACTGCTGTAGGTCGATGTATTTGCAGACTAAACTTTACTAAATAAAGACTGAGCCCAAAAAGTGACCCCTAGGACATGTATTTAGGGAAATAACTTCATATTTATTCATACTTGTAAGATTATATCATTTGAATGAGGCTGCCTACCTGATGGGCTTAAGGGTTTGTGGGATCATTCTTTAAACTAGTGGTGGATAAGCCAATTCCAAAAGGTTATATATACAAAAATGCATAATACAAACATGTATTTTGTTCTCAGTGGGTTTGCACAGGGGACAACTTGATTTCCACTGTTTTGTTGGAGGTGGATTTTAGAGCAGAGTTCAGCTAAGGGCTCAAACCAAGATGATGAGGTAATTCAGAATCACCTCTACATTTTAGGATTTTATCCAAACCAAACCTGAACTCCTAATTCCTTTTCAGTGTTCTTATAACAGGGAACAAATGAACTGCAAAAAAAAAAAAAAAAAAAAAAAAAAAAGAGAAATTAAGGAGAAAAGAAATTAAGTTTAATGTTTTGTCCATTTAGATATTAGTTCCTCTTGCAGCCTTTCTTGCAAATCTCACACATCCTGGATGGGGGCATTGCCTGTGCAAGAGCGGTGTCGAAGGCGGTGAACAACAATCACGGCAGCACAAGAGTCCTGAGTTTCTCAAACGAATGCGTTAGTCCTGTCTCCCAGGACACTGCCTTCTTTGTAACCCAGTTAGATAATACGAAAATCATGCAAACGTCAGACTGGTGAATGGAACTGGAAACATAAAGTTTCCATTGGCAAATACAAAATGTCTGAATTGATGTATTTTTAGATTTATTAAACAGCTGCTCCAAATGCAGTCTATATAGAATGAAAATCAAGTTTTTTAAAGAGCAAATAAGTACAAAAAGTTACCACTATTTCCTGGTATGTTGCAGCTGCAAGAGATAGCAATTTACAAAATGCAGCTGGTTTGATAGCTGAGGTGTGAAACAACTATCAAACTGAAAGAATGATGCAGGTTTTCGAAAAAATAAAATGAAGAGCTTAGAAAAAATCTACAGGAAATTACAAATGATGGTAGTCACTAAAATTACAAAATAGGAGGCTTCCACTGTCAGTGTAAAAAAATGCTCCCTTAATCATGTTGTGCTGATACACTAATATCTGCTGTACCCTAATGCTGTAATAACGCTGTGCTGTATAGTCATGCAGACTCAGCTGTTTCATATGTTTCAGACAAATCTTTAAAAAAAAAAAAAAAAAAAAAAAAAAAAAAAAAGAACATTTGGGTTCTTCAGCAGCATTTATTGAGTAGAAAGTACCACTACAGAAATACATAGAGCATTTGCTTTGATTTGTCTGGTGCTCTTCTGTGTTCTCTAGTAAACTGATTTTAACTAATCCATCTTCTGTCCAAATTTATGGAAAAGCAGCTATTACGGCTTAGGGCAGCAAATTAAATGGCATCAGATGCACTGGATGATGAAAAGCTGAGCTTCTTTGCAAAGAAGCATAATCGTTGCCCAATGTCTGCAGTAATACCTAATATCCATCTGTGACTGTCCATAAACTGCTCTTTTTAGGGGTCTTACTCAGAACGTGAAAATCTCGCTGCATTTAAAGCTCTGCAGTGTGTCTCCTTGCTGCATTAAACATCAGAAATCATGTTTATGGAGGCAAGCTCTGTGTTTACAGTTGTGGTGTGTGGGAGTCTCACTTTAAAGGAAAAAGGAAACGAAGATTGCTCAGAGTTATCTTGTGCAGAACTTTGGCAAGAACATCCTCTATTCATGGAATAGCCTTCATTAAAAAGTCCCAGGGTGTTTTTAGCATTCAAAACCAGTTAAAAGCAGAATCAGCCATTAATTTCTACAGTTTTGGTTTAAAGTAATTCCAGATTTCAACAAGAAGCTTCAAGCTCGTTACTTATCAAATAAGCTGCCTGTGCTACAGGCAGCACATGGACTTTATTACACTGTCTATCGGCCATACTACATAATATTTGATGCAAAATAGGGTGAAGTCAGTGGAAAAACTTCACTGAGCTTCAGTGGGTTTTAGGTTGGGCCTCGGAGTATGAGATGAAGGAAATGAAAAACGAACATTTTAAACAGCACCATAAATGACAAAGCACCATCAGCTCCTCCATCCTCGACTCGCTGTGCAGAGGATCATATTTGTTTTTCTTGACACTTTTCCTAGTGTTTTCAGCCTGGCATATAAATATATACCAGACTTGTTTAACTTCCTATGGTGGTGGAACATTAGGAATAAAACGCAGAAAGCAAATGCCAAGCGAAGAAGGAAAACTGTGGGCTGTTGGTAACAGGAACCTTTGGGCTGAAGTGGGGGTACTACTCCAGTTTTGCCTCGTGACCAGTTCTGTTTGGCACTTTTGCTAAACACGCTTTTGCTCAACACTTTGCGTGCAGAGCTCTGCTGGTGATGCAGATGCGGGGGCACCATTAGCGCAGAGCAGGATGCCAGGATTTGGGTGAAGCAAAGCATTAGAAGGCGGAGATTGGAACGCGAGGACACCAAGCAAAGGGACAACTACATGGCGATGGCTGGGACTTCTGCCAAGTGAGGACCAGCGGCAGGAGGAGGGGAAACCTCACGTCCGCTGCGCCCACAGAGCCACCACATCGGCACGGCCACGACGGCCGGCGCGCAGCTCCCGTGACGCCCCAGGTCGGGTATTTCCTGCGCGGAGCCGCAGGCCCGGGCTCAGGCCGGGGATGGTGTGTGGGGGGTGGAAGCTCCGCCGCTGGGGCTGCCCCGCGGCGCCGCCGCGCCCCGCAAAGGCCAACGGAGAGCGGCGCAGGTGGCGAGAGGTGCCGCGGGAGACCCGGACAGCGCGGCGGGGCTGCCAAGACCCGAGGCTGGCGCGGGCACAAGGGCGGGTGGGTGGGCGGACAGCCAGGCCTGGAGACGCCCGGAGGCAGGATCGGTCGAGCGAGGTACAAGCAGGGCGGCGGCAGCGGCAAAATGGAGCACGAGCCCCGCCGGAGGCGCCGCCCCGCCGCCCCGCTAGCGGTTCAGAGCACCAACCGCCACGGGCGAGAAAAACTAACGGAAACTCTTTCAGAGGCGGCCTGCGCATGCGCCACTCCTCGGCGGCGCGGGGCACGCCGGGACTTGTGGTTCGCGGCCGCGTGGCGCCCAGGGCCGCGGTAGGCGCGCGGGACTACAACTCCCGGCAGCGCCCGCGCCGCAGCCCGTCCCGGGCGGCTCTGGTGTGTGCGGGGCGCCGCGGGGCTGCGGGTGGGTGAGATGCGCGTGAGGCGGTTCCGGTCAGCGGGCAGTCGGTGTCTGATGTGGCCGCAGGTGAGTGCGGCCGTTGGGGGCGCGCGGCGCGGCCGTTGGGGACCGTTAGCCAGCGCAGGGGGTGCGGGAGCAGGGCCGCGGTGGGGAAGGGTGGGGGCGGGCTCGGAAAGTTCCTGCCGCGGCGACAGCGCCGCCGCCAGCCCCGGCCCGGCCTCCCCGCGGCAGCTCCGTCCCGGGCAGCGGGCTCGGGGCGCCGGGCCGAGGCCACGTCGGCCCCGCGGCAGCTGTGCCGGCAGCGCGGGCCGCCGGGCGCGGCTTGAAACCTGGGCGGGACGAGCGGCTCTAGGAGCAGCAGCAGCCGGAGCAGCCCGCACGGGGCTGCGGGACCCGCGGCTCCCTCCGCCGCCCCGGCACCTGCGGCCGAGCCCGGGCTCCAGCCTAGCGGCGCGGAGGTACGGGGGTGAGCTCCTCCTCGTGAAACCCAGGGAAGCGCCCAGCTTCGTTGGTAAGAGGTGGAGAAGAGTTGTTGGAGTTGCTCGGAGTCTGTATCGTGACGAGCGCGAATCCAGGGGCAGACGCTGGAGAGGCCGCTTGGGTTGGGAGCAGTCCCGAGAGGAAGGAGAGGGTCGGTCAGTACTTACAAGGTGGGAGCGTGTTGGAGAGCAGACTGTGAGTTGATATCAATTTCAGTCACTCTGAGGTGTTGATACTCGTAGTCACAAACCATAAAATTCAGGAGAGAGCAATTTTGCTCACTTTTTCTTTCATAGAAAGGTGCCGTCTTTCCTATGAAGAAAGAAAAGTAAACATCATTAAAGGCTTATATGCAAATAAACCTTGTATGAAGAGGTGTTGTAAATGCAAATAGATCACAGTTTTGGTGTTAACATCTTGATTAATAGATGTAGGTGAGCTCTTTCAGTGTGCTTTCACTGTCTGACTTTAGCTTGCTTAATTTTACTTAGAAGACCTATCACAGCTTTTGTTTTTTCTTCTTACAGTACATTAATTAGGCATTATTCTGGCTGTTGTTGTTCAGATTCACATTCAGAAAAATGCATGAGCCTATTGATTCTGGTATTCTGTATTGATTTGTGCTCCTTTAAAAATGATTAGTTACGTAGAGTCTCATTCTGTTAGAGTCACTCTTGCACCCACAGGCTTTTGTGGAAGCAGTGTGTAGGGAAGATTGCGTAACCCTGATTTACAGTTCTGGTGGTATTCAGAATGTTAATCAAGGTATTTTCACTTAGCATCTTGGAAGTAAGTGAGAATAGAGGGTGGTTAGCATTAGATGTTGTAATTTATTTCTAAAAGGTAAATGTTAGGAATTATTTAGTATATTAAAACTGTTGATCAAATAAAACTTTGGTACTGCATTTTTTAAGTTAAAGTGCTAGTTTGACTTGCTTTATTTCTTAGTACAGGTGTTTTATGTTGATGCAGATAAAGCTGCTCAGCAGCATTAGAAACTCTGAGTACTTGGAACAGACAGCACATGCTTGATTTGTTGTTGTTGTGGTTTCTAGATACTTGGAATGTTGATTTAGACAGTGCAGCATCTTGTAGCAAGTGTTATTGAGCCTGTGGTAATGAAACGCAAAGAATTTGCAAAGATTTGATCATGAGGTGATTTGTTTTAAAAGGTTGTGGCAGATTTGCTTTTTGAGCAGGCATGTGAGCATTAAATGATTCCCTCCATCTCAAAGGAATCAGTGCTCTCAGACTATAAATATCTTCCTATAGATAGAATTGATGTTGTATTGCTGAGCGTGTAGACACACGCTCTACCCTTTTTATTTCTGTTAACAATTGAAGTTAACAGTAACTTCTTGAGCAAAGCTTTGCTCTGCTAAATTACTGTTAATTAAAAGATGTGGTAGTGTATTTGGAAGTGCTTTGCTTCTTTTGTCATTTATATTGTACGGTGGGAGAACAGTAAGTATTTCTGTTAACAATTATTAACCATTACAGTGAGTACAAAGTTACTAATTTACAACATATATAGGTGCAAGAAATCTGTAATCCTACTGCCTCCAAGTAGAGTGGTTATGATATTACTATGCAACTTTATGCACTTCATGTGAAATAATAATTTTATCTTTTTCCTTACAGGCAAAGCACAACATTTCAAAATGCTGGAGATTATCTGTGTGAACATAGAGATTACATTTAATGCGATTTTGTCTTCAAAAATTCTGCTCTTGCATTTCACGAGATAAAATATTTTACAAAAATGGAAGGTTGGAGAAGTGAAGGTATCAATTAACAATGTTCTGTGAATCCAGAGAAGAATTTCTGGAGGAAGAATAGATTCATTGACTACCTGATTTTTTTTTTTTCTTTTTAATTTTAAAAGGATATCTACGTGAAGATGAGCATGCTTATAAGATACGGTGAAAGAGGATATTTCTAATGAGTTACCAACATTTGTTTCTGTTTGAAATCAGATTCTTTTTTGATGGAAATGAAGGACCAGTATGAAAAAGCAGAGCTGTTGTATTTTTCTGAGGCCTTTATGTAAGGCTCTACTGTCTCTATCTGGTGTTAAAGGAAGGGCAATCTGCTTCTGATCAGCTGATTATAACTGTAGAAAGAGAACCTTTAATTTAAAGTAACTTCCAGATGAAACTGTTTTGCTCCTTGGCTTGCACAGAATGAAAGGGAAAATTAACATGTGTTACTGGTCAGGGGCCTTTTGTTGAACAAAGAAAGGGAAAGTTAGATTGTTCTTTTTTTTATTATTATTATTATTTTATTTTTCCCCTCTCCATTTCCGACGAAGAACTGACCAAACATTTTTGTTAGAATTTGACTACTAGAGGATCTCAGCATTCAAAACAAGTCAGATGTCAGCAAACGACTCTTCCCCTCCATCCGTACAGAAGTTTTCCCCGCCTGTATATCATGCTGCTCCACCGCAAACCCCAAGTTTGTCTTCAAGCCCCCAGTCGGGGCTCTCCAGTCGACTTTCCAATGGCAGTTTCAGCACCCAGAGCCTCACCAACTCCAGGAGCTCTATGCACGGGATCTCCTTCCTCCTGCAGATCGGTCTCACTCGAGAGACTGTCACCATTGAAACTCAGGACTTGTCTCTCTCTGCTGTGAAAGACCTCGTGTGCTCTATAGTTTACCAGAAGGTAGGGTATGACAGTAACGCGTTCTGCTCATTGTAGTTGCTTTGTAATAAACTGGCAGCAATAACAACATGTAACTGGAAGATGCCAGGAACTTTGATACAAAGATAAGGCCTGTTAGAAGTTTCTAATGTTTGAATAGGAAATTTGCCAACTTCCAAGGTGGGAGCTTTTAATTTAAAAGGAGAAAAACCTCCTATTAAAATCTGTCTTGTGAACTCTAATGAAACAAGATGCAGTAATAAACTTCCTGCAATAATTAGTTCTAACAATATGGAATGTATGTGGGTTTTTTTTCTATCCTTTCTGTGACTGTCACTTCTTTCTGCTTTTACTAATTTGTACTCACAGCTGCTTTTACTGATTTGTACTCACTGCTGCTTTAAAGGAATATTCTTGATGGAGTGTAGCCAACTGTAATCAGAGTACTAATTGTGGACATAGAAATGCTCTGCAGTCTGAAGACTTGCATGATCCTGACTTTTTTTTCCTTTTATTTTTCTAAGCACTAATTGAAAAATAAAACACCAAGTGACTAATATTTTCTTAATATTGCTTTTCCATGTAAGAAATCTGAGATCTTCTTTTGAGAAGACTGTTATCAGCATACCTATAGTATCTATTCAGAAACAGTTGGCCAAGGGGATAAAAATGGTAACTAACTCTTCAAATGTGTTTTGGTAAGCTACTGCAAAGTTCTGGCTGTATAAAAAGAAAGTAACATTCATCTTGCTCTTTTTATATGCATGCTTTTTAGGCTAGATGCCACTGATGAAACTGGAAATTGTTTTATGTAAATAATTATGAAGAAATAATTGCACTTTTTACATTACTTTGTAGGGAATTAAATTGCTTTCTCTGTATCTTTCCTTTTTTAAGTGGTATTTATAGTTGAGTAGTTTGATCCTTTTTCTTTAATGGCTTGATAGAAAATGAAGGTAAACATAAGAATTTTCATCTGCATATGCTTTTGTGTGTTCCCCCCCCTCGCATCTTGTATCTTTCTTTTCATGATTTTATAAATTAATTAGCAAGTCAACTAATTTCATAATGACTTCTTGGGCCACCAAAGTGTGATTCAGTGTATTAGTTCCGTTCTTAAGAGAAAAACTTTGTGGATTTCTTTTTTTTGTACTACACATTTTTGATACACCTTTTTGCAGCCTTTTAGGGGGCTGCTTTTTCTTTCTGTATCAGTTGTCTCTTTGCATCTGCATATTTCCTGTCTTCTGCCTTGAAGAAAGATGAAACAAATAAAATCATGTTTGTTTTTGTTTTTCCTCTCTGTTCTTGGCAGGCTTAGCTGAAGTTGAGCTCAAGTTCAGAAACTTGTTATACGCTTAGTCTAATCTACCGTAAAAAATTATTAGGATTCAGGATCCCTGTTTTCCTCTTTCCATCTGGCTTTGGTTCAGCTTATGCTCTCCAGCAGCTGATGCTACTGCTGGTAGATGACTGTTCAATGCGAGCATGTTTGTGGGCAGCAAACTGATCAGGAAATGTGTGTCGGGGAAAAACCTTATGTGGTGGGCTGATCTTTCATAAGTGGTTTTGCAGCCAGTGTAAAAGTAGCAAGCAGTATCCTCTCTTTACCCTCTGTCTGACAGTACATTCTGTCTGGATTTTGTTCTTAGATGACTTTAGCAAGCGCGTGAAATATTCTTGTATTAATGTAATCTTTCAGTATTTATTTATGTAACACTTATAACTCTGTTTTGCTGTGTACTCTCGTGCATATGGCTGCTTGTTTTTCCAGTCAAAAGCTTTGAAGGTGTTGGGTTTGCCTCTGGAATTCAGTGTTACAGCTTCCCCTTCCTCTGGCACATACAGCTGGCTCGAGCTGTCTCCTCTTGGCCAGCTCACGGCTCCCAACTTTCGAATAATGCCTAGTTTGTTCTTGTGATAACTGGGCAGTTCATAGTGCGTATTTACTTCTGGACTTCCTTTTCCTTAATGAAAAAGGAGAAATATCTTTTACATGGAGCTATTCATAACTTTTGTTCTAATGTTAATGATATTCTACTGAAGTTAAATGGTAGCATTCTTCATAATATTTTTAAATCACGTTTCAGTCTCATTGCATTTTTCAATACAGATTCACTAAAAAACTTTGAGAGAGATCTTATCTATTATCACTTTGTTGGGAGTTTGAGTTGCCTGCATAAGTATTTGTAGCCTAGGAATCCAATCATGCTTTCAGAAATGTTAATTATGTTTTCCATTAGATCTTGGAGAAAGCTGGATTTTAGGTTTTTTGTTTTTTTTTTTTTCTTTTTAACTTGCCCCTTACGGAGATTTGATTTAGTGTGTGAAAAAGTCCCGAAAAAAATGGTATTTCAGTTTAAAAAAAAAAAAAAAAAAAAACCCAAGATCCTTAACTAAGGCATTTGCATAGCCCTTTCTGTATTGCCAGGATGGCTGTATTGTTGATGGTCAGCTGTGCTTCCTGTTTCAGAAGCTGCTCTGAGTGCAGCTCAGTTGGGTTTTTGCAAAAGGGTCTGTAAAAGTAGCCTCGGGAGAACTGAAACTAAGAGGGCAGTAGATGTGCCCCTGTAAGGAGAGGGAGATGAGTAATACCAGTATTTGACATGTCTCTCAGCTCTGTTCAAAGCTGTGTTTAAGATCAGGAGAGGAACCAAAAAAGGGTTGGGGTTTTTTTTTTTTTTTTTTAGGTTAAGTTCAGGGAATGGGCATTCTGCATCAAAATGCTTAGTGGAATTTCTCAGAAATTCGGCTTGAAAGGAATGCTTCGAAAGATTGTTAATTCCAGGCTCAAATGTATCTTTTCTTTTTATTCCTTATCTAGACTGCTGGGTGTTAAAGTATTAGATATACAATTTTTGCAGCCTGAAGAGGAACTAAAGCAGGAGCAAGTGATATTTCTAGAACAGAGAGAGTGGATGTGTTTGGGAACAGATGAATGTGTAAGTGGCAGACGGGCAGCATGTGCCTTTGCACAATAATCAGCTATTACAGAGCCAAATGCTTAATCCTGTTTTGTGTTTAAAAACTCTCTGCTTGATGTTTTCTAATGTCAGTAATAAAATGGAATATGAGTTTTAATAGTTTAAAACTGTAAACTTGAATACAGTAGTTCCAGTGCATGTAATCTGAAAGCAATGCTTGATTGGCGTTATTGGCTATAAATGCTTGATTAGTCCAGAATTTTAAATCCTAATTAAATTAATAACTATGAATAAAGAAAATAAATTTTGTTCTTTTGAGCTATTACTTGTATAGCATTAGAATCTGGAAGATTTTTCACGGTGACCTTTTACTTAAACCGTTCCTGGCATCTTTCATGATTTTGAAATGTCTCTTATCTACCTTTTGTCTGCAAACCTTTCTTTCCTCCCTTCTTGTTTTCAGTCATTTGCAGTTTAGTTCTCCTTTGTGTGCTGTTCTTGCAGTGGCTCTGCTCTGAGGCAGGCCATTTGTCTATCTTTTTGGATGTCTGTGTGAAATTTTTATTATCCTTTCTAACTGTTGCCTTCTAATTGACTTAAGTGCTGATATATTGCTTACTTATACCTATCTGTGTATAAGTTTCCCAGACTTTTTCTTCTAACCTTAATGGCCACAGCTTAGCAAAATCGGAGGCATTTCTGAAGTTGTTCAATACACCTCTCAGATTTTTCATTCCTTTCCTAAGACTGCTCTTGTAACTTGTAAGTCTTCAAAAAAAAAAAAAAAAAAAAAAAAAGAAATCCCATGTTGTTATCTTTCTCTGCCCTCACTTATTCCTAGTAATGTCTGCTACACTTCTTTCTCTTTTATTTTTTTTTTATTTTATTTATCTTTTATCTAATCTGATCCAGCCTTGTATCTTTTGTATTTTGTTTTGGGTCTCACCTTCCTTGGTTTGCTTCCAAAAATAGTTTATTTTCTTCTTTTGACTACGTATTTTGGGTCTGCTCACAAAGCATTTCCAACAAAAAGGTTTATAATTCTACATCTCAACTTTTTCATATATGGGATGTTTTTTCACTTTTTTCTTTGTTGCATTCTCAGAATTTCCTTGTTCGTATGTAGGGCTGAACCTCACACCTAGCACCTATTGCTTGGCTTTATTCATGTAACTTTTGTGTGTTTGGTGTTAATGCTAGGAAATGTGGACACATTTTTGTCATCTTTTTTCTCTGTTTCAAAGTGATTACTTCTCTTTAACCTGGTAATTAATTGTCTGTCTCTTAGCAGCAGTTCTGTGATTATATATAACCTCATGTCTTTTTAAATTACTACCTCTGCCTCTCGTGGTTTTTTAATTATTTTATTGTACTTATATTTGACTCTTCTTCCCATGTTGTTGTTAATCATCTCTTATATGCAGAGTCTTTCTGTTCTCATTCGTTTACCTTAAAACGTAATTTCTTATTAATTAATATTTCCCGAATAATTTCCTGAAACATTGTGCCATTTTCAGACCTTAATCTGTTAATAACCACCTTAGTTAACTTTGTAGTCACGTACTTGTTGAGAACGCAGTCACTGGAAATCTAGTTGTCTTGGAGAGGAATTTTGTGCGCCACACATGCTTGTGAGCATTTCTACAGTTTCTGTAGTTTTCTACTTTTATTGTTTTTAGCAATTTTGTAGTCCTGGTACATTATATTCCCTGGTCAATAATTGGAATAATCTGAATTGAATGTGATGCCATCAGTACACATGCACTCGTTTTGGTAGACTTGAGTGTCATGTTAATGAGACCACGTTGGATTTTGCCTTTGATAGCTGAACTGAACTCCTTGGAATGCTGCAAAGTTGGCCAGTTTTCTTTGAAGATATGTAGACTTCTGGGATGAAATTTGAGGAGATATGTCCCAACATTTTGCTTTGACAGTTAGGGGGAGGAAAAGGAACATGACTTGAGAAATATACAGCCATTTGTAGAATTTTCTAACTATATGTTAATTAACTATATGTTTATATTATTTCATATACATCAGAACTCTAGTTTTAAAGGGGCTAAATTATTGTAATTTACGTTGCTGATTATTCTTTGA